GTTCTAAGGAAGACAGTAATAGACAAATTGGGTGTAGTTCTGAAGAAAAAGAATTTCATTTCCCTTCGTTCGAATCTCTCTCTCTCTCTCTCTCTCTCTCTCTCTCTCTCTCTCCCCCCCCCCATTCCCTTAAATGAGGCAGACTGTGGTTTAGAGAACATACACTTTTAGTATTCATAACGCGTGGAGTTTGCCAAAGTTTGGCGTCATCATTTCTAAAATAAGAAGTTATTTTCTTCTGCTTTCTTGGTGTCCCCTCTATTCCTGCTCCAAATGTGTAAGGACTAAAAAATGTCCCATGTGACATGGTTGGTGGCTTTTGCCTCCTCTGACAATGCTTTAAAAGAATGCCTTACAGATAAATTTCTTTTATACATACTGATATATAAATATTAAGTTTAGATAGTGATAAAAATTTTTCTTAACAAGTCTTCTAACAACTGAGGAGTACTACAGTACAAATTTATATTTGTTCTAACTGTAGACAGTCTTACCACTTTCAGGAGCCCACACTACTTCTCTCGGTAGCATCCCTCTGCTCTGTGGGAAGACTCTGCTGCCCACTGTAGTAGATACCCTAGCCCTCACCCTTGGGTGTAGGTAAGCTGTACACAAAAAGTCATAATGTCTTCTGTGATGAGTCACAGACATAGGGAAAAAAATGGTCTGGCACTGAGTCACCTTGGAAACTGGTTGTTCCATTTGTCTCTTGTGTGGCAAATTATTCCCAAATTTGGTGACTTTTCAGAAATCATTCCATTGTGTATTATTTTGGGTCAAGGCTGTCACTAGTCTGCGTGCTGAGTGCTGGGGCAGCTAGAAGGGAGTGTCCATTCCCAAAGTGGCATCCCACTTGCATGTCTGCATCCTGGTGCTCCTTGGCCTCCTTCTCCCCCAGGGCAGTTTATCCAAGTCAGACTTCCTAGCTGCAGCTTAGAACTCATGTGGGAGCTGAGGGCTTCTCCATACCCAGCCACAAAAGTTCCAGGTGTCACTTCTATAGCATTTTGTGGTTTAGGCAAGTTCCTAAGGCAGACAGATTGAGAGGAAGACAAATTAGATTGCACCTCCTTGTCTAAACAGCAGAAAGTTATGGGCCATAAATAGGAACTGATAGAAAACTCCTTCAGGGGATGAATGTTTTGTAAGTACTGGTTGCCCAAGAGCTACTTTGTATTCGAGGAGCAAAAGTAAAATGTTATACGTTGTTTGTTCTGCTTTGTGTTTGAGTTTTGCCTTAATATCCTGAAATCAGTGAGGCTGGCTTTGACTCCCTGTTGATTAATTATGATGGAATGGCAAGAGGGAGCTCATAGGTGGGAGAAAGTTTTTTGGAATGAGGGACTGGGAATCTGGCAGTGCTGTAGACTAATAGGAAACCCAAGAGGAGAAGGGTGTTTGACCAAAGTATCAGGATACTTTAGACTACAGGTAACAAAATGCAAAGTGCCCAACCAAAATCAGCCTAAAATACACATTTCTATTAGAAGACTGGGGATAGGTAGTTCTAGGTTTGGCTCAGCATCTCAAAGATATCATGCTGTCAGTCACCTTTTCTGAGTCTTTTGACATACTGTCAGTCAACTTCTCTTGAGAGTCTTTTGATACCCCTCTTATGTTGCAAGATAACCACCTCAGCTTCATCACCATATCATTATAGTAATGACAGAGAAAGAAAGAGTCTCCTCTGATGTCTTTCATCCCCAGGAACCTGACAACAGATTTCTGTTGAGTCCCACTGGCCAGAATACAGCTACATGTTCATGGGCTAGCCTCGGGGAGAGCTGGGTTAGAATTGGTCAGGCTTTCCCAGGGAAGCGAGGAGAAAGACATTAAGTGGCACCAGCCTGGCTGCCACAGAGTCATATGCCCCCTACCCCAAATGGGCAAAGTCTTAACTGGTTTCTAGAAAATATTAATTTTTATAGTTAATTTCTCTATTGACTTTCTCTTGTTTACTTTGTGTTTGAGAGCTACTCCCATTTCCTCTTAACAAATAAAAGAATTAATTTTTCCACATACTTTAAAATTTGAATGAAAGCTCTTTGGCTGCCATGAAGATGGGTTTCCTGGTGATATCTTGTAGGATTGCCCTCCTGCTGTCATTACTTACTTCATACCCCTCTAAGTGCCTTTGTGTGCATATAGGTTTACATAAGGAAGGACTCTAGGCAGGAGCATGCTTGTTTTAGAGTCTGGAGACTTAGAGAACTCCCTGACCTTTTTTAGTTGTAAGTTGGACCAGGACACCAATTTTAACTATTCTAATTCCTGAATGGCAAAGGCTGGCTGAACTGAGCCGAGTCAGTAACACAGTAGCATAGAACTGAGAAAACCCAGATCCTCAACTAAGAAGAAAACACCTTGATCCAAAAGGGCCTGGTGTGGGAGAGTGGGGAAGGTTGCTGCCTTCTCTGCACAGCTGCATGAGAGAAACGGTGTCTATGTCTATCCCACATGCTGCTAGGGCCCATTTTCTTCATGATGTTAAAAGGCTGAGCTTTCAAAGTAAGCTTGTAGGAAGATCATAACATTATGTTACAGAAATTGTACTTGAACTGAATTACAGTGAATGTCAAAAGAAGGCCTATCTACCTATCCTCCTTTCTGATATTTCAGAAATAGATTTCAAAACAAATGTTTTGGAGAAATTTTTATTTCCAAAATACCTGAAACAATTGACTCACGTCAGTGATATCTATTTCTAAAAGTGATTTTTTTTCATTGCCATATTTCTGATTAGTATATTATAACTGTACATAATGGTGGGATTTGTTGTTACATTATTCATACATGGACCCAACATAACAATATAATTTGGCCAATATCGTTCCTCAATATTTCCCCTTTCCCTCCCCTTTTCTTTCCCCCTGCTTGGTTTCCTCTACTATCTCTTCCAATTTTCATGAGGCCTTCCCTACCAGGAAGTCATATTTTAAGTGTTAAAAAATATTGTTAAAAAATTGATACTTCTAGTAAAAGAAGGGGGGGATGAATGCTTTATGTACTTGTAGACCACTGTATAAGATAGAACCCAAGTGAGAAAGTGAAAATTGATCTCCGGCTAGATAGCTCCTACACTTTCCCCAAGCCACCTAAATCTGACCCCACCCTAGTGTTTAATATACACAGACAAGATCATGCAAGCCCTAAATCATGTAATCAGGGAAATCTGCACCTCTCCATCAACTTCTGAGGATCTTAGTGGTGGCCTTAGTTTCCCTAGTTTTGACTGCCACCTTTTGCTCCAAAATTTCAGTTCTGAATTAAGTCTCAGTCTTCTCAGGCTAACTCATCACCATACTCTGCACCATGCAGGTGCAGCTGGTATGTGGGCTTCTGAATAGGCAGGACTCCTCTCTGGCATTGCCTCAGAGAAATCCCTGCCAGAACTGGAAGGGACTTCCAGGTGGATGTCACTGACTCAAAGTGCACCAGCCAGCCCCCTACAAGGCTTGCATTATGTGTGTTGCCTCAGAGCCACTCACCACTACTTAGGGCTTGTGTCTCTCTTCTCTCATTTTCCCATCTTCCCCAAATCTTCATATTATAGTTTAGCAGTCTTCCCCAGCTTTACTGAGATATAACTGAAAATTGTATATTGCAAGGTACCCAGCATGATGATTTGATATATGTATACATTATAAAATGATTTCCACAATCGAGTTAAATTATATGTCCACCACGTCCACCTATGTCACATTGAAAATAGTTCTTTATAAATTTGGCTTTCAGACAGTGTTACACCAGCACTATGGAATTTATCTGATTCAGATCAATGAAAAGTTAGAAGATTTTATTTGTTAATGAAGTTAAATAGTTTAAGAACTATTTTTCAGATTCCTGAACTTATTAAAGATCTGTATTATCTTTAATACTTTTATTATCTTCATAATAACATGTAAAATAAAACATCAATTCAATAACAAAGTTCCTTAGGGCAAGTGATTAAATAACCATGAGATTAACCAGGTTCACTTCAAAGATGATTTGGAATGTTGTACTATTTATTGCTCTAGGCAATTATAGTAGTCAAATATAAATGTTCACAGAGTACATTTTCATTAACATGCTGTATATATCCAGCTACTTCCATATGTTTTCTGGATGTCACACAATGTCATCATTAAATAAATATTTAATAGAAAGGTTTATTAAAGTTTTATTATACTTAAAAGAGTAGAAATGAAGATAGATTAAGTTAAAAGTAATGGAGAAATGTAATTGAAATAACTTGGAAGTACAATTTAAATTAATACCTTTCTTAATTTAGAAATATTAAAAGTATATGACCACAATTTAAGATGTGTTTAAATATATCATTATGGAGAAAATAAGAGCAATATTTTATCTCACTATTTCTATGTTATTTGAATAAGAATATTAATTGTTCTTAGTCTAAAACAGAAAAAAAGACAAGTTAACTACCTTATTTATCAACTCATTAAATATATTGATGTGGCTGTCATTAGCACATGTGTATTATTACATAGAAATCCTTACAGAGCATTGACAATTTTTTTCAGTGCTTATAATCAGTGCTTATAATACTGTGCTTACAATCTCTGTAACCTAGGAAAAATAACATAATGTTATTGACTTACCTATTGTGTGAAATACATTTTAAAATTTTAAATAAATCACTATATTCAGTTTAAAAATTCTATCATTGAGTTTATATAAATGGAGAAACTATGTTTCTGTGGAAATGTTAAATCAAGTTGTGCAAGCTAGTAAAATAGCTTTGATTTGATTTAAATAAAATATTGTTCACATCAGGATATATGAAAAAACTAGAATTGTGACTATTGGCTCCTCTGTGATCCAGGGGACAGAGCACAGGGATAGACTCTTTGACTATGAAGAAAATGCTGTCCTGTGCTAGGTTTCCTGATAAAGTAATGAATCCTAACAAGAAACAGATTGTAATAATTTGTTAAAATGAACTTTTGATAAGTGTTTTATTTATTTGTTTGTTTGTTTGTTTATTTCATGATCAGGCTATCAGCTGCAAAGGTCAACACAGCATATCCTACACTTTGTCGAGAAATCAGACTGTGGTGGTCGAGTACACACATGATAAAGACACAGATATGTTTCAGGTAACATCTTTCTTTTCTAATTAAAGTGTTATTTTGCATTTTCCCTTTACTTGAATATTTTGATATGTGACTAGAACATCCAACACAGTAGTGTTTGATGATGTTGAGGGGGAAGAAGTTAGGATAATATAAAACTTATTCCTATTTAGTTTTTAAAAAATTTAAAAAATTTTAAAAATATAAAAAGAAATTATAAATGCCACATTGTCAGATCTCAGTGCAATAAAAATAGGTATTAATGAGAATAAAAAAATTTTAAGCCAACCACTTTGAAAGCTAACATGAATATATTTATACTTTCTAAGTAACACTTGGGTCAAAATTTCAATTCTAGGCCTTTTAGAAAAAGCTGTGGGAACACTTTATAGTAAAAGTCAACATGATATAGCCAACATCTCACTTGTCTTCTAGAAAAACATAAAACTTAAATATTTTCATTATTAAAATATAAGAAAATAAATGAAGATAAAGGTACAATTCATTTCAGAAAGGTTTTTTTAATGACAATAATAAAATAATTAAGAACCTGGTTAACTAAGGATGGGCTCAGAAATAGTTTTAGTAGTACATAATTGCAAATTCAAAAATATACCAATAGAAAGCAAAAGGAAAGAAAGTCCTCAATTAATGAATAGAATTGATAAATAAATCCAAGATTTGGCACTTTAAAACAACGAAAATCAAAATTTGGGCTAATAAAAGAAAAGAAGCAAACATAAGTTGCAAACAATTAGGTTTTGCATTCTATGTGGAGAGTTAAATTCTTAAATAATGATGAAACAAATGTCAAAATGTTTGCTAGATACTGATGTCATACCCTATGCCAAAATAAATATTAAAGAGAGTAAGCATTTAAATGTGAAAATGAAAGAACAAAAGTCCTAGAACAAAATTTAGCTGAATTCATGTTTTTGGAATGGGGAAGATTTAGTAACAAATGAAAACATAGATTTTGCTACACAACTTCTTTGTGAATGTCAGGAAATTGAAAAGCATTTAAACTAGGGGACAATTTGGGCAACAAATCAAGTAGACAAAGGACTGGTGACTATAATATATTAACTGCCATTCACTAACCTGAAAAAAATGGACAATGAGCAAAACATGTAGTTCTCAAAAGAAGAAATATATCCAGGCACAGTGACGTACACCTGTAATCCCAGTGACTTGGAAGGCAGAGCTAGGAAGACTGCACATTCAAGGCCAGCCTCAGTAACTTAATGAGACCCTGACTCAAAATAAAAAATAAAAAGGGGTGGGAATGTGTCTCAGTGGTTAAGCACCCCTGAGTTCAATTCCTGGTATTAAAAAAAAGAAGAAGAAGAAAAGAAGGAAGGAGAGAAGGAAATGAAGGAATATAAATAACTAGTAAATATATTTGAAATTTTTAAAATGCCAAATAAATTAATAGTATAATACTTGATTACCTGTTAATTGGAAAGTGTAAACATAGCACTGTAAAGCCTTGTATGGAAATGACACAGCATTTGGCGCTGTGAATTTTGCAGTGTTACCAGTAATTTAAAACAATCAGACCTACTGGCCCAGTAATTCTATCACTATCAAGTTTTTATGCACAAATAATTAAGGAATATGAATAAAAATTTAACTACAAAGATATCCACACAGCATTGCATATGCTAATAAAAATCTAGAAATAAATTGATACTCCAGTGTTGGATGAGAATGGTTACAGTAGGGTACCTTTAAATGCAAAATACCATGTAGCCATTGAATGATTATTAAATAAGAAATACAATAAAATGAGTTTAAAAAGCATATGTACACACATATACGTGGATAAACATGTACATGAAAGAGAAATGTACTGGAAAGAAATGCCCCAGCTCTTTTACCCTATTTTCTGTAACATCATGGAGTGCATTCCTAACCTGGACCACCTATGTCAGATCTTTTAAATGAAAGAGAAATAAAAATCTAAAATAAAATTGTCTGCTTCCTTTAAAAATTCTCTCAAAATTTGGGAGTAATACTACTTTTTCTTTTGTTCATCAAATTAAAAATTAGTGGCAAAAATGCAATAAATTAGCCACCTGGTGGAAAAAATGTTTTAGCATTTAATGCCATCAAATTTCAAATTAAAGATTCAAAGTATTTTTCTAAAAAATTCAAAGTATTAGAAGAAAACATGAGGAATTATTATTTAACTTCAAGTTAGGAAGAACTTTCTAATTCTTAAACAGAACCCACAAAGCACAAAAGAAATGATTAATAAATATTGGGCTTTAGATAGATAAATTTCTGTGTGGCCAAAATATAATAAAAGTAAAAAAAAAAAGATAAATGGGAAAATATTTACAATTCATATTACAAAGGGTCTCAAACATGTGAGGTCCTCCTAGAAATCACTAAGAAAAGACCTACAGTTGAATAGGTTAATCAGCAAGGAACCAGACAGGGGAAAGGAAATATGTCTTAGAAATAAGAAAGTTCATTGAACTTCACTTTTTAAAAAAGGAAATGTGAAAAAATCACACAGAGATAATATTTTTTACTTACCAGATTAGAACAAATCTAGAAGGTTTTGTCAAGGATTTGGGGAAATAGACACTCTTTTATCTGCCATAAATTGATATAACCTCTGTGGGATAGTGATTTAGAAATGACTATGAAAAATATTAAATACTTACATATGTTGACTCAGCTCCTGTCTTTATAATGCTCTTCTATTTCTCGAGACTCAGCTCAGAGATATCAGTACATAAATGCAAAATGACTTTGTACAAAGTTCTTGCTCAAAGCATTTACTTAAAAAGCACCATGGAAGTGTTTCAAGGAATTAATTAATTTAAAAATATGAATATGCTATTCATTTGCATTTTGTGGTATTTATAATATTTTAAATTTATAGTTTGTTGTGATTTTTTATTTATTGTTAATAGATGCTTTCTCTCATTAAAAAAAAACTAAAAACTAGAAACAACTGTAAAGTCCTTTAGTAGGAGACCAGGTCAGTAAATCTGAGAAGAGCCGTACAGTGGACTTCTCCATGACTATAGCAAAGAAAGGCTCTATGTATAGACTCAAAAAAAAGTTCTAAACATATGAAATGGAATAAAATTAATATTATTAAATACATTGAGTCCTACTGATATGTTAGATTCAATTAAGATTGTTTGATGTTAAATATTAGTAAATAATGATGTTAAATGTTAAATATCACATTAATAATAAATATTTCAACAGTTATTAAATGTTAAATTAGTATTGTTAATGGTTTAAATAATGCTTATATGAGTTAAAAATCTCCCAAAAGGTAAACAAGACATTCGCAAAGCAGTGGGGAAGGGGGCCTGGGCAGAGGGTATGCAGGAAGATAGTTCATACTTTTTGATTTTGGAACCATATGGATGTGTTAGTTGTTTTAAAAAAATAATCTTAGATGAAAGACATGGTCATAAAATAAACATAGTATTCTAAGTGCCACTTTGGACTCAAAAGTAAGATTCATCTTATTTAAGCAAAATGGTAATGGTAATTTTACTCTCTATGCCTTTCTATTATATAACCTTCTAAATGTCCTTTCTTCTCAATCTACCAAAGAAAACTTCTTTCTAAATAGGAGGATACTCTCCTATTCTTCCCTGATGGTATTTTTATGGAACTTTATCATGATTTTTTAAATATTTAACAAAATTATGCATTTTCTACTTATAAGCTTTTTTATAGTAAAGATTATAAGATTTTTATGTAAATAGGGGAAATTCCTACAAATGAATCAAAACTATGTTACCATTGTCACCACTAAAATCAATAATTTCAAGTACTACTAAAACATAAGACATTGAATTTTTTTAAAGATTACTTAGCAAATTTCATGTAGTATTCTTTAGTGACATGTTGTGACATAGTGTGTTCTACACTATTATACAATTACATTCTATTCTCATTATTCACTTCCTACCTTCTCATCTCTGCAGAATGAATTAAAGTTTTAGTTGGATTTTTTAGTTTCCTGTTATTAATTTTCAAGTGCTTCATTTTGTTACACAGAGTATTAGAGCACTCAAGATTTAATAAAATTAATAGGCATTTTTTTAACTGCAAGTGCATGGCAGCAAAGATTGCAGTGACCATTAGCATACTCTGGTGTACTGCCTTGAGTTGCTAAAGCACTTTCTCTGTTAGCCACTGTAGCTTTAGCATCCTTCCTGCAAACACCAGTACTGGAGAGGCAGTGGCAATCTTTGTATGATATGGACCTGGATCCCTTGACATGGGCTAAGGGACAACCCTCAAGGTTTCGTGGACTGTGCTCTAGTTTACACCACCTTGTTAATTTCATAGATTAGAAATATGGTTCTTCAAAAGAAAAAGTAACTCAAATTAAACTCAGAGAAGGCATTAGTAACAGCAATAAGATTTAGGTCTCCTGAGTTCTTGGTCCTCTACACAGTACTAATGCAACCTCTTTAAAAACATAGTAAGCTGAAAAGAATTCGTATATTTCTTGAGACATAACATGTTTTTCATTTTTACTCAAGTGATCAGATTCCATTCACAGGCTAACTGGATGTGTTAGAGGATTAATGTCAGAACATTTGAAGTAACTCTTAGAAGACCTTGAGAAGGCAAGCTTGTTTTCATGTTTACCTCCTCATAACAAGTTATATGTCCAAAGCCCAAGTATGGACCTTGATGTAGAGAGCCGTTCATGTTAGTTGCTCCCGTTAGAGTGATATCTAGGTTAACTGAGTATTTAAAAGAAGAATACCAGAAAAAGACCTTGTACTGCATGTCCCATAGTGGAAGCAGAGAGTAGGCTCAGAGCTTAGCAATATTACTAGCTGAGGGGGGAAAAGAAAATCAAAATTAGCTCTGGATTTAAGGGAGCAGGATTAAGGGCAAGAAAATCTGAATTAATATGGTCAAATAAGATCTTAGTAATTATTTTCTGGAGTAGAGGTAAAAAAAAAAAGAAAAAGGAGTCTGCAATAAAGTAAAATATAAACAAAGTTTGTGGGAGGGATCAGAGGAAGTGACAGATGTCTTACCAAGTCCCTCAGGTGAAGTGAGATACCACATGAGGTCTGACTCCACAGCTGGGGCTAAGTGCTTTTTCCCTCTGACTTCTCAGTTTCAGTCTGTGAACCTGGGTGCTGCAGTGCCTCACATTTTGGGTTTCTTCTTGTTTGTTTTTTAATTGACTTGGTTTATTTCAGTTTGTGATGATAGCATTTAATTAAGATCCATTTAGTTAGAGAAAATGTTAAAGAATATCTGCATTTTTCAGTAGTTATTTCTTTAAAATGTACTTAAAATTGCACCTCCAGGGCTCATGTGTATGTGCATGTATCTCAGAGGATTCAAACTCACTGTCAGAACCCCCCCAGTCATCATTGTATTTCTTGGGCATCTATTGTGTTGTATACTCATCTGGGTCCTGCAGCTAAAAAGCTGAGCCTCCCTCTTGTGCATGCAGCCTGTGTTCTGGAAGAGGGAGAGAGACATTTCGTTAGAGAAAGTAGCAAGTGGAAGAGCTCCAGGTCAAGAGCAGAAACAAGGAAGAGGGAGTAAAATTAGATGAACTTGGAGTAGCCAATAGAAGCTGAGAAGGAAGACCTTCAGGTCAGGTCAGGAGTCTGGGTTTTATCCTAGGAGTTTTAGAAAGCTGTTACAAAGATTTTAAACAGGAGAGATAATCTCTTTTTTATATTTTTGAGATATCTCTGTGTATGGAGAATAGTCTAGGAGTCAAGGATGAAAAAAGGGATTTGGGAGGCTAAGGTAATGGAGTCCAAGTAAGAGATGGTGATGACTGGATGAGATGGGGAAAATGGGAAGATAGAAGGTATAATTGGAGGTACAGTGGATGAGGTTTACAGAGGGATAATGTGGACATGGAAGAATGAGAAGAATCAGGATAATTCTTAGGTTTTTACTGAGCTAATTGAATGCCAGTCAGTTTTTGAAAGGGAAAAATCTAAGGGTTGAAGGTGGATCAGTGTTCTGTTTGAAGCATGTTATATTTGAGATGCTTATTAGAACTAAGTGGAGATTGGGTGTGTCAGTCTGAAAACTCAGGGGAGAGATCAGGACTTTTTGACTAATGAATGGAATTTGATGAGATTGCCTAGAGAAAGAACAGAAAGAGGAGGAAGGTGACTGGACATATTTTGCCACTTTAATACCAGGGACAGATGTGCTGGCTGATTATAACCTCTGGATTTAGCAGTGTATTAGTCATGGGAACCTTAGTATGAGTGGATTCAGTAGAGGTGAGGGGAGGGAATCCCAGCTGGGGTGGGTTTAGGAAGGAGTTAGAGATGGGCAAGGAAAAGGAGGTGGTATCTGATGACAGATTTCCCAGGAAGTATTGCTGATCAGTGAATCTGAGACACAGGAGGAGGAAATCTTTCTCAAGAAGAGAGATTAGTGTTGCAAAGCTGTTGTCACTGTGCTCTATGAGCAGCAAAATGTTTGTAACAGTACAGAAAGTGATAGGCTGGAAATTGAAATTTTTATAGCATTTTGGCATTGCTGAGACATGCAAGCAAAGAACCATTTTTCTACTGCTTGTTTTTTATTATTTTTTAAAGGTATCAGTGAATTTTTAACAAAAACAAGTCTGCTCCTCCAGCCATAGTTTGAGAAGTTCCAGAGATAGGATCCAGTATGAAGGAGTGGGTAGTAATTCAGGAGAGAGGGACAAGCAGAAGCAAAATCCACAGGAAGGGAAGACTGTTGACTACCAGGCTCTGTGCAGAGATGGGTCTTGGGTAGTAGCAGCAATAGTTGAGTCTTATCATAAGAGTGAGGCTGTAAAATAAAGGGGGAGGGGAGGAGAAATGAGGGACACACTCCCAGTGCTTCATGCCACCCTGCTTGAGCTGGCCTCAACCAGCATCCAGGCAAACCCTTACTTTTCTGATGCGCGCGCGCGCGCGCGCACACACACACACACACACACACACACACACACACACACACACACACACACACACACACACACACACACACACACACCCCTACCTATATATTTTAAAATACATTGGTTGGATGGTTGGAGTAAAATATTTGCTACCACTACTATTTGAAAACTAGCACTCTGACTCTCAGAATGAAATTCAGAAGCATTTTGGCCTCTGTACTATATGAATATCAGATGAAATTCATAAACATCTTGGCCTGTCTTACAAGATTGCCTTTAAAAAAAAAAGAGAGTGGAGCTGATCTAGCAGCGAAAAGAAAGGCATGCTGCAGACTTTCCACACTGAGTGAGTTTTCAGTAGGAAAGTAACTTAGATATTTTTTTGGACAAAAGCAGCATGTGGTTTGTGTCCTAAAGTATAAATTTTACTAGAACTCCAGAGGTTAGATGTAAATGAAAGTGAATTGATGAAAAAATCTTATCTGGCCAGTCAGATAAGATCATGGCTTAAAATAATGGATCCTAGCAGAATGTTCCAGTTGGATTAAATATCACGTTTTAGAGTCAATTTCCTTTAATTCACGAAGAAATTAATGTAATAAATTTGGATGAATTCAAGAATGTGGCCTTCTAGAGGAGAATAACTTTTGTAGACAGGAAGGAGCAAAGGTTGAGGATATAGATCCATAGTAGAACACTTGCCTAGCATGCATGAGGCCCTGGGTTCGATCCCCAGTGCTGTAAATAAGAAAAAATAAAATAAATAAGAGAGAAGAGAAGGAGTAATTGTGTGGCATTCTAAAAGAGCACAGTTTAGCTTTGAGCTTAAAAATTGAGAAATGAACATGGCTTGATATAGCTGTGCCTTAGAAGGCAGTTAGGACACAGACTGTCATTTGTGGGGCCTCCTGTTTTGTGAGATGACCAGGGGATTTTGAACTTTTCAATTTATTTCACTCCTAAACTATATTGAAACAGAGGTTCAGGACAGGTACTGGAGTAGGCCTTTTTTTCTCCTATATGCTTTTCTGTGTTTGTTAAATATTTTGCAATAAGTATTTGTTACTTTTCTAATTGTTTTTATTATAACTTTTGTGGAGGAAAAAAAATCACAGCATCATGAACCAATAGAAATACCGAGCTACACATCCAGCTTCTAAATGAATCTAGCAAGATTGTACAATCTGAGAAAGATAAATTGTATGATTTGAGTTTATAATCTCCCTAATTTAGATGTTGTATTTTTTTAACGAGTCATATTTTTTTAAACCTGAAATGCACATATTCAGGCATTATACATCTGTTCAAGTTGATGAGTTTCAGTAAAACCAGAGGTTTAGTTTATTCCAGGCACATTTCATTAGAACAAGAAATTAAGAGTTGTAAAAAAAAAAAATGAGAAAATCGAGCTTGTTGTTTTGGTTTTATAGGGTTAGACAATGCATGAGAAAGTGTATGAGAGATTTAAAAAAGAAACAGTAATATTGTTTCAGGAAGCAAGCAGAGCTAAGTGATACAGGATATTTTCTCTTTACTTCATTCATTTGGATAAAAAATTATTTTACATTGCTTATGTTTTAAATGGAATTTTATGATAAGAATAAAAATACCTTAGAAATTGACTTTCAGAGCCTTGTACATATATCTCAGAACTCTGGTGTACCCTCCATTAGCAACTTCAGAATCAATGTTGCTGAGAGAGGACATTAAAATTATATTTGGTGAAAAATTCTTCATTTACATATAAGTGATTTTTATTTAAGAAGGCTTTTTGGTACATAATAACATTTATCACTTTTCAAGTTATACATTCATAAAACATCATTATAAAAATGTTTTAAATTCTATCTTGAGGATTTCCTTAGTTTAAACAAATACAATTTCCTAGTTCACAGAGAAAGCAGTACCTGTTTTATTTGAATTTACTGAATAGGAAAAGCTTTGTTAAAGAACTCTTAAGATCTTCCTAATGAAATGTATTCTTTCTGGAAGCATTTAAATCTTGCCAAGCAGAGTAAACCAATATAACAATATTAGCAACTTTTTAGATTTTCCCCAGAGAAGTGTTTTTTCCCCAAAAAAATCCAAACTTGAAATGCCAAGACCAGCTTTTTAAGTAAGTCTTTTATTTGGCTACATCCCAAGCTTTTGGCTGACTTGTATAAGCCCTTTATATGATTCTCAGACACACTGAGTAATGGCAGTAGACATTTTTACTCTGCATGTAGGTACGGGCTGTTGCTGCTTAGTGCTGTGAGTCACCATTGGATTTACTTAGGAAAGCCATTCTCAGGAGCTGAGCAAGAAGAGGGAGGCAAGAGTTCCTTTGTTTATTTAAAACTTGCTTTTCTCTAGATATAGAAAAAATTTTTTTCAAAGAATTATTTGCTATGAAAGTGCTTTTTCTACCCAGAACCAGGAGATAATCTAATGTGTGGAGGATGATCTAATATTTTCCTCCAGAGTAGAAAATTAATCTTTCTCTTATTATTTAAAATCTGATGGTCTAAGCAACAGGCATAGCATTTCAGTTAAGAAAGATAAAAACATTCTAGAGATCTGCTAAATGATATGTGTGTCTGTGTACAATAATTCCAGTATTGTGCATTCAAATATGTGGTGAGGGTAGATCTGATATTAAGTTTTCTTACCACGATAAAATAAAATTGATAGTTTTTTAAAAATCTAGAGATGGGGTACCATAATTTCTTTCCCTTAGTTAAATAGGAAAAAGAACACAACTGAAAGTTTTTTACTAAATTCCGATCCTCAGGGCAGAGATAATGAATGTTGAAGGGCGTCTGAACACCCATCACATGTGAAAAAAGTATGGTAACCTGACTTTTTAAGCAAATCATGAGTGTGTTTGATTCACTCAGGTGGGCAGATCAACAGAAAGCCCTATTGACTTCGTGGTCACAGACACCATTTCTGGTGGTCAGAACAATGATGAAGCCCAGATCACTCAAAGCACCATATCAAGGTTTGCTTGCAGGATTGTGTGTGACAGAAATGAACCTTATACGGCGCGGATATTTGCAGCTGGCTTTGACTCTTCCAAAAACATATTTCTTGGAGTAAGTACTGGTAATAATTACAAATTTCAGGAAAAATACTCATTATTAGATATAGAACATTTAATGGAGACCAAAAATTTGCTTGTGATGCTTCTAGTTAGATTTTGAGATTTTAGTTTTCAGGTGGCCAGTTTGAAAAACTGTTTTTAAAAATTCATTTAATCTGGCTCCAGTGGCTTAGACAGGAGGTTCACAAGCTCAAGACTACCGTCAGTAATTTAGCGAGGCCCTAAGAAACTTAGGGAGACCCTGTCTCAAAATTAAAAAATAAAAAGGGTTGGGGATGTGACTTAGTGGTGAAGATCCTCTGGGTTCAATCAGCAGTACCAGAAAAAAACTCTAATCAATGATTAGATGATTAATAGTGTTTTGTAAGAAAACAAAATGGCTACAGCTTGTTGGCTTAATATATTTTGAAATTTTGTACCTTTAATAAAGTCATTTTTTCATGATTATTCTTTTTCCTATATCCAAAGATTAAACAAACAACAGTCATTGCTTGTTATTTGTTATGTTTGCTCTGTCAACTATAATATGTACATTAACTACTTTTTAAAGTGTATATATTACCATTATGCATATGTATTTATGGTGGATTTAATAGGTTTATTTCAGGAGGAAAAAAGTAGCCAGATCTAGATAATTACAGTCCAAGGAAAATGTTAGTGAGTTATTCATTCACTCATAAATGTTTTCCTAAGTGTTTTCTGTGTTCCATACTGAATTATAGATATGGTCTCACCGAGAATTAAAAAGTCCATGCCTTTATAAGTTTCCTTATAAATGAGCCCCCCAAATTTTATTGAATGATCAGTTTTAATATACTTTCCTCTCAAATCAATATTATTTTTGCAGGATAGGAAAAAGAAAAGAAGAGGGGAATTGCAGTGGCACAGGCAACCAAGAGTGTCTGTCTTGCCACTTATGCCTTCTGCTTTTGAGTATATAAATGCTGATTTGTAAGAAGACAAAATGGCCACTATTTGTTGGCTTAATGTTTTTTGAAATTTTGTACCTTTAATAAAGTCATTTTTTCTTGACTCTACTTCTTTCTATATCCAAATAATGAATGCATGTAAAGCATTTTTAGGAAATAGGATAAAAGCACGGCACAAGTGCAACCGAAGAAAGAAAACAGATTCTTGGATTCATGCAGGGTATGGGGGAATCTGATGGAGAAGCCCAGGCATCAGGCATTTTTCTTAAGCTCCTGAAGTGAATATAATGTATATCTAGTGATAAATAATTTATCTATTTTACCACATATTTCATATTGTCAGAATAATTGCATATTTTATCCTATTATTATTAGCTTTAAATAGCTCCCCTGTACCCCTACTAGTATTTTAAAGAGACCCCCAATTCCCTCATTTTGAATGTTACCTTAATGTATTTTTTTATGGTCTGTGATGTACTCTCCAGGAAAAAGCAGCAAAGTGGAAAAACCCTGATGGCCACATGGATGGGCTCACTACAAATGGTGTCCTGGTGATGCATCCCAGGGGGGGCTTCACTGAGGAGTCTCAGCCTGGGGTCTGGCGTGAGATCTCTGTCTGTGGAGATGTGTACACCTTGAGAGAAACCAGGTCAGCCCAGCAAAGGGGAAAGCTGGTAAGTGGGTCCTGCTCAAGGACACATACCAAACTACGGAAACTCACTTTGGACCGTCATTTTCCACTCCCCTGAAGCTCAGAAAACCTTTGTACAGGTCTAAGTGCCAAGCCCCCTGACCCACGAAAATGAGAATTCTTAAGTTCCGAAAGTTAGAGGGACATGGCCATCCTTGTGTTAATGTTTAAACTCGTTCATAGTGGCTGTAACTTACCTTTTGCTCCTTAGTATCTTAAGAGCATAATCATTTATTACCTACCACACTACAAAATTCTACTTAAATCCACTCTAAGGAAAATGAACTTACATTTAGAGTAAAGCTTTACTGATTTGCAAAAATCCTGAGTAATCCAGGACAAGTTGGTGACATTTTTTAATTAAAGAATGATACAGACTTTCTTGAACTAAGAATCAATTAAGTTTGCTTTTTACCCCTTAAGTTCATAGTAAGAAATGAATATAGAATTTGCTATATAATTTTTTCCAAAGTCATAGTTACAGCTTTTTACTTGATGATTCATATACTGTATTGACCTGGCTTGTTAATGCTTTCCTGCAGTTCTCACCACTTAGAGTCAGGCCCTAGAGCAGTTGGTTTGGAGCCGTTTCTTCTCTGGAGATTAATTATAATACCTTAAATGGGAAGCTTTTGGTTTCTGATCTTGCCAAAAGTTTGTGGCACAGCTTCCAAATAGTTCTTAGTACACTTCACAGTTTGGACTTCAGTTAATTGTTAAGTTGGAGCAAGAGGAAACAAATGCCTTTTCTAGATGCTAGAGAAGAGGAAGTTCTTCAAGATTCCCTTAGAAAAATATAGAGAATGGAGGATGTGAGCTAGCATTTTGCAGGGAGAAAAATGATAATCAAATATTTCTATTATAGAGAAGATGGGATTCTTTTGCAGACCTGGTTTGCTGTTCTCTCCAAGGTGTTTGTTTTAGCAGAGTTGTTGCTGTTATTTCTATTTCACACCATAGTTTAGCCATTGGCACAGCGTCTGCATCTATAGTAAAGCCTAGTCTTGGAGCATCATGGCTGAATGCATATGAAAAGCATTTTCCTAGAAAAGCCAACCAATTCAATAAGTTTTGATAAATACTTTCCAAGAAATTATAAATAGGAAAGGTAATATGAATGCAATTTTTTCAAAAACCTTTTTTTTTTCCTGGTTATCTGGTAGTTTTATATAAGACTGACCTAGATCGGCCGAACTGGCTATTAATCATTACAACAGCAAGAATTAGAAAGCAGCAAGTGGTTATTGGGTACTGGCATTATGTCAGCACTTCAGACTTCAGCTCATTTACCCTGTACCACAGCTCTCTAAGGAAAGAAGAATCAGTCCATTTTATGGCTAAGGAACATTTGGCATGGATAAGTTAAATGCTTCCAAGCTTCACAAGATTCAGAGGTGGCTATAGACAGGGTTTAAATTCAGCTCCTCCTGGCTGAGAGTCTGTGGTCCTAACTACCACTCAGTACCATCCCTTGGGAAGCCACACTTAGCTCTCACCAAGAGGGTTTGCACAGAGCATTTGCCTCCTGGTGATTAGAAAGCACATCCTGGACTCCACAGAGAGCTCCTTAGGTCAGGAGGGCATGCCACAGAGTGTTCCTTATCCACTCTGGTCCTTATAACGTAGTTTAGGTAACTGTGTATGCCAGGAAATTTTGCCAATGCTGCTGAAAAGAAGCCACTCCAAAAAATGGCTTCTGTTGATGGGTGGGTTGTAATAAAGAGAGACTAATTTTGAAATTAGTCCCTGTAAGTAATACATAGATATGTGTTAAACTGTAGACATCTTCCTCAAATCAGGCGTTCACAGCTCTTAGATTTTATACTTGAACATCCATTCCCTGTGCCTCTTAGCTATTGCCCCCATGGTATTCTTGGTTGAGGCGCATTCATCCTCTTTGCCTAGAAAAAGAACCCACCCTAGCTGACTCTACCTCTTTTCCTAATCATTACAACAGCAAGAATTAGAAAGCAGCAAGTGGTTATTGGGTACTGGCCCCTCCACCATCTTTCAAACATGCAAACCGATTTTTACAAGGCCACCTAAACCTCCTCTGACTCCCTCAGGCATGCAAGACCAGCCAGCTCTTCAGCCTGGCCCAGCTGTGCCAGAGCCCCAGCCTGGTCACCTGGCTTTGACCTCAAGTTAACTGTTGTTCCCTCAGCACTTTCTGCTGAGCATTCTTGTGCTTCCTGCACGTGTGCCTTCCTTGTAGCCCACCTCCTGACTCCTGATGTCTTGCTCAAATCTCTGTTCAAGGAAAACACTTTTAAAAACCATTGCTCGCCTTCTAACTTCATTAAAGTAACAGCAGCATCTGTTTATGTAGTATTTACTGCTTGCCAAACCTTATCCTAGGAACTTTATTTGTATTAACTTATTTAACCCTCATGATCGCCTTTTCTAAGTTTTACAAAGAAACTAAGGGATAGGGTGCTTCAGTAACCTGCCCAGGGTTATACAACTGCTAGGTGACAGAGTCAGGCTCAAACCGAAGTAGTAGGCTCCAGAGTCACAGTCTGAGCCACAATGAGGCTGTGGCCTCATGGCTTTTGACTGGCCCTTACTCACTCCTGGGTCTAGGAACGTCTGCTTCCCACTGAAGAAGAGGACTCTGTTTTCTTGATTTTGGTACCCTTAGGGCTTAGCATTATCTGGCACAAGGAGGCAGAGGTCAGACTCCTGCTGACCAGGTCCAACAGTGCTGCTGTCAGCTGGTCATCAGTCTTGTAAGCACTTGGTACACAGCATAGACATCCTTTGAAAACAAAGGCTCATAGTGAAAGCTTCAGCTTGGTCCTTAGAAACGAGGATGAAGGACAGATTCAAGGTATGTGGGAAGCTAAATGTCGCCAGGAGAGTGTCAGACACTTCAGTAATGATTTCAGCCCCAAAGGATCTTCTGCATTGGCTCTGGTCTAAATGAGTATGAGTCTTTTCCACTTGTATTGGTGGGACATCTCTGTCCTTTAATGAGATCAATGACTAATTATATTATCGACTTAAGGAGTAAAAAAATAAGAGTCTAAGCTGAGCAGGGTGGTAAATGCCTGTAATCCCAAAAACTCAGGAGGCTGAGGCAGAAGGATCACAAGTTCAAGGCTAGCCTGGGCAATTTAGCAAGACATTGCCTCAAAAATGAAAATAAAAAGAAGTGCTAGGGATGTAGGTCAGTGATAGAGCACTTGCCTAGCATGTGTGAGGCCCTTCAATCCCCAGTAGCACCAAAAAAAATAATTATTTTTTTCAATTTAAAGAGATTTGTGAAGTTCATTAAAATAACCGCTGTATTAACTGAACCTAGGTGTTTTGTGCTCAAGGCTTTGCATCCTGGACATATATATTGTCTAATATTTAAATGAGAAAACTGAAGCTCAGGGGGGGTAGGTTACTCCCCTAGACCTGCTTGAAGTGAGATAAATTTCCTCCCTGGGTCTTCTTCAAAACTGGTTTTGTATTTATTTTGAGAGGAAAGTCAGAGTGATTTGCTCCATGGTTTTCAGGATTTTGCTTTTAAAAGGCATATCTGTCAAACCCATTGTAGGTAGAAAGTGAGACTAACGTCCTGCAGGATGGCTCCCTCATTGACCTGTGTGGAGCCACTCTTCTGTGGAGAACAGCAGACGGTCTTTTCCACACTCCGACTCAGAAACACATCGAGGCTCTCCGGCAGGAGATCAATGCTGCGCGACCCCAGTGTCCTGTGGGGCTCAACACCCTGGTCTTCCCCAGCATCAACAGGAAAGAAGTGGTAGAGGAGAAGCAGCCCTGGGCATATCTCAGCTGCGGCCATGTTCACGGGTACCACAACTGGGGCCATCGGAGCGACACAGAGGCCAACGAGAGGGAGTGTCCCATGTGTAGGACTGTGGGCCCCTACGTACCTCTCTGGCTTGGCTGTGAGGCAGGATTTTACGTAGATGCAGGACCACCGACTCATGCTTTCACCCCCTGTGGACATGTGTGCTCAGAAAAGTCTGCAAAATATTGGTCTCAGATTCCTCTGCCTCATGGAACTCACGCATTTCATGCTGCCTGCCCTTTCTGTGCCACACAGCTGGTTGGGGAGCAAAACTGCATTAAATTGATTTTCCAAGGTCCAGTTGACTGATGCCCTTGACAGCCATCTACTATTAACAAGTTACTGTGAAGATTTTGCCACTAACTAGAATTCTACCTTTTTGTAATGCTGTTTATTAGGGAAAGGGTGGACTGAGACTGGGAAAAAAGGGGGGACACAGTGATGAAACATGGCAGGAGTTGAACAGATACCAGTGGTATCTTGCATGCTCAAAACAGCAGCATCGTCATTGAAGTCTGCTTGATTAAACCATAATATCTGTGTAATAATTGGATTTCAACTGCCATGCTTTTATTTTTAACCTTGGGCTTTTAACCAAGTTTTTTTTTTCCTTTGTAAACTTGGACAAGATTTTACAATATAGAAGAAATTTATTTGAAAGTCACTGTAAACGTGCTGTGTGGGATGGCGTTACCCAAAACATGTACGGTGTCTGGAGTGCCTGACGCGGCTAGGGTGGCGCTTTGCACAGGACTGGTGAACAGGAGACCTTAGGAACAGGGGCTTGTTTTGAAATCCGGGGCATTTTTCTAATTTATTTTTCTGACTCTCTTGGAAGGACAATATTCATATATTGTGGGATTTTTTTTTAACTTCAGTGGAATTCACTTACATAGTCACTCATCAAATACTTGGCATTTCAAACAAAGAATTTTTCCATAATTTCTTAGTCTGCCTTTTGTTACTTCTGCCTGATGTGGTTTGTCCCTTACCCTCATCTTATATGGCCAGGACTGTTTGATTAAAAAACAGCAGCTCTTAAAAGTTCTTTAATGGAGGGTGACTATTACAGCAGTAGTCATGGCCTAGGTACTATAATACCAACTTTATCTGCATATTGAATTATTTAAGATTTAAGAGTGATTAAAAATACACTGTTACTTTTTAAAACCACTTGTTTGGGTTTTATAGGGTTTCTTCTTCTTCTTCCTCCTCAAGAAAGCCAAAATTCTATGAGCCTAAAAGCAACAAATCACAATGATACAGTCATTTTTGTTCAGTCGCTTTCCCTTGCTGTGAAAGGAGCCCTTTAAGTTTTGAAAATGTTTGCAAATCAAACTAAGTTTAAATGTGATCATTAGATATACACAAAACCAAGTGATACATCTGCAGAGATAATTTGAAATTTCTGATTTTTGAGAGCAAATGAGTGTTTACTGAGGAATAATTAAATCAGAATTTCATATGAGCTCTACCATCCCTCTCTGTTAGTTTCATTTCATTTTGATTAATAATTCTTGGATGCTCATTCTCTGTGCTTGGTACCAGAGTATCACTGCTCCCAGAATGCAGAGAATCTGTAGCTAATATAGGCCCCTGCTCGTGGAGCAAGCATTCATTTAAACTAACATCCTCATACATGGACCATCAAAGATTTGATTTACATTTTCTAATCTTTGTAAATATATGTAATTTATATGATTCTAATGTACTATATTCATACTTGAATTGGTTTTTCCATATTTTGCCTACCGGCAAATAGTTTGCCTATTTCCCGTCATTCTAACCTATTTGAATACTCTTTTCCTTAAAGTGATAAGATTTATTACTCTTAATTGCTGCTGCTTAATTTGACTTAATATTTTTAAAGTTCAGCCTGTCAGTTTTAAAATAGCTTTATTTTTCAACGGAGATCATTGTTGAGGATGAGGTATTTTTGTTTTGGGTTTTCTTTTGGTAATTTTTAAGTGATGTAAAAATCCTACAGCAGTTTTCTCATTAGTAGCTTCCTCTATTCTGTATATCTTACTCTACCTGCAGACAGAAAATGAAAGGAAAAGATGAAATTGCCTAGAATAGTGTATTAAGTGCCATCTGATCTAGCCAGAATCTCTGATGACTAGCTTTGTTGATAGAGTTGTCTTTTCAGCCTATGAGTCTATGGGCTCTGAAGAATGATAAAGGAGGTTCTTGTCCCTTTTCTTGTTTTATAGCTAGAGAGTGGTTTGAGGGTTCTTGATACTCCAGGATCATCTTGTAAGGTAAATGGTATTGTACCCAGAAAGGCTGAATTTCACCTACCAAAAGAAACACAACTTTTTTTTCTAGAAAATTATGCTTTGATATCATAATTTTCCACATCAAGGACTATTTATAAATCTAGTACTTCTGCATGTGATATATGCCCAAAAGTAAGCTTACCATCTGAAGTTTCTGACTTTTACTAAACTCAGCTTAAGTGCAAGTTGAAATTTGGGCAGTAAATTCCAAGCTCTTGGAACGGGTGAGAGTGCCACCTGCTATGGCTACACATCTTTTCCTTTGGCTTCCAAATGAGGTCCTCTCCCACCCAGTCTAAGGAACCTCAGAGAGGTGGCACATCTGTAAAAGGAAACCACACTCACCTAAGCTACTCATAAGATTCCCTTATAATTTTGACTATTGAGATTTTTTTTTTGAAGACTTGAAAGCAACTTAGTTTGTGAAAATAAAAAACTCTAGCTCACCAAAGTAGAGTAATACAGTTGAGTAAAGGTCATGTCTCCAAGGTCACTTCTTGCTTTTATGTCTGGCTTTTATGCCCTGCTGGCAGCTGGAAGTTTGCTGGGGCCCCAGCAAACTTCCAGCTGCCAGCAATGCCCCACTCGACCACTTGTACACATAAGGAATCCAATTGTCCCGGTCTCAGCCTAACCGAGATGCCTTTTTCAAATAGGTTTCCAGAAGCAAAACTCCAGTGATGTATTTCCATAGATATTTTTCTTTTCAGTTGTTTATGTCAGTTTACTACAAAAAAAAAAAAAAGGATTCAGAGTGGATGGGGTACAACTCTGAGTATTTTTCTAGACTGAAATTTTTTATTAATAATCGGTGCTGCCGGGTCATGCATGCTGCAACTCTCAACATTTCCCTTATTTGGTTCAGCTTTTTGCAAAAAGGGCTACAGGTCACACTGCAGAGTATTAAGCTTTCTGGTGGATTTTTTTTTACCCCAACTATGGCCCAAAAGAATTAAAAATCTTTTAATATAAATAGAGAACATATTTATCATTCCTCAATAGTTAATTAGAGTTTGGTACCTTTGTGCCTCAGGGAAGCCACGTGATATAACTGGTTATAGAATTTCAGGGTTAGGGTTTAAGGAAAGGAGAAAGCCATTGGAAAACTGATGGGCTCCATTAAGGAGACTAATGAATCTGGATGCAGAAATATGCCAGGAACTGGCATAAACATGATTGTAGTAGAATTTATTTTCTAGTACCAATAGGAAAATCATTTTAAGTTATTATATATACTGTATTAGGAAAGTTGAGGTGAACTCTTCCTAAAGCTTCAATGCCTTTTGTTTTTGCTGACATAGAAAAATCTCAAACCTTTGTTATTTGGGAGCTCAGTATTGTTATTTGGGCACTTTTGAGAGTTTAAGGAGCACATTTTCTACTTAATTTATATGTACTATATATTATAGAATTGTTACCTGCAATTCTTGGATTTTGCTCCACTTCTTTTCTTTTTGAAAGCCATTCTGTCCTTTGGATGTTCACAGGAGGTGTGGTCACACCATTCATTGTGCTGGATGAACACCTGCTAATGTCATGTGATCTTGCCGCATAACAGTGGCATTTCTGATAGGGGATTTTTATTTTAAGCCAGACGCAGGTCCATTCCCTTGGGTGTTACTCTTATGTCCCCATAGATTAGCCTTTGTGGGGCAAGAGAATGAAGTTCTTCTGCAGCTATGGACAGAGAACACCACCCTGTTGTCATTTATGACCCAAAGGTCAATGAGACAACTTCAGGGTCTTTTTAAAAGCATTGCTGAAGCAGTAAAACAAAAGAAGGTTCAGTATTTTCTTTTTAATAAAACTTACACCCTTTCAAATAAATTTTCACCCTCGTAAAGAACCCCTAAACGAGGATGGGGGCAAATATTTTTCCAGTTGTACGTAACCATTTCTTAACATGTTTCTAAGCAAACAAAAAATAAACTCAATGAAAGGGAAGTGTTTCATTTTTAGCTAAGATGGCAGATTGCTTCTCTGTATTGAATAGTCTAGAAGTTAAGGGGGTGGTCATATTTACCATGTATAGTGTTATGAGCAGTTAAATTTTATGAATATATTTGTAAAATTGTTCTTTTATATTTCATGTCAAATTAAAAAGTTTATTTCTTCACTATTGTACCTGTGGAAATACAAGCCATTTTACAGGAAAAATCTTCAAAAACTATTAAACAGATCTCACTATGTTTGTGAGTCATTTGTCTTCAGACTCTGGTTGTCATTGGGTTCATCAGGATAGTAGGAGGAAGATACAAATGTAGGCTTGATTTCTGCATTTCTCAAACTTCCCAGTTAATCCCAAATAGTTGAGTTTATTGTTAATTGTTTTATACTCTGCACAATACATATTTAAATCTGGGTTCTGAAAATCAAAAATTTATTAAAGTTGGTGCTTGTATCATCGTTTCTTGGGACATTTTATCACTGTCAAATAAATCTAATTTCTAGGAAAATTTAACCTGGATGATAGAATTAATTTTCTTCATGGTCATTATAGTCATGTTACTGCTTTTGTAACAGTCTCTCTTCATTTTTAACATAATAAGGATTGTATTAAAGCCTTCAAGCCTTAAGATGGTGTTTCTGTCATAAGAAAATATATGCATGTATGACAGTTTTTTCCTCATCCCATTGATATTCAATGATTCTTAGTATTATTGAGGGAAATAGATTTTTATTTCCCAAAAAAATGCACTTATATAATAAGGTTTTTATTTTAAAAGGTAAGTGTTCCATACTTTTATCAAATCTAAGATGCTATGAATTATAAGATGTGTTACTATAGAAAAACACATCCAGTTATAATTGTAAGATACATCCCATTCAGCAAGGCACCAAAACTGTGTACGGTGGGGGGCTGTTAACAAATGGAGCTAAGACAACTGGATATCCACATACTGAAGAATGAAGTTGAACCCCTACCATTGACCCTAAATGGATCACAGAGCTACAGCTATAGAGTTCTTAGGAGGAACAGGGGTGTGTGTGGAGGGGGAACCTTGTGACCTTAGTCAATGATTTCTTAAGATTCTACACCAAGAAAACACAACAAAATGAAAAAGGAGGTAAATTGGGCAACCAAAATTTTAAGTTTTGTACATTATTAAGAGAGTAAAAAATTCGTAAAAAAGAAAAAAGAAAATATGTAAATATGTGAAGCTCAGATTGGCAAGGAACTTGTGTCCAGAATGTGAAAAAAGTCTTACAATTCATTAGTTAAAAATACAACTCCATTAAATAATGGTCAAGTATTTCAATAGACTTTTTACAAAGAAGATACACAAATGGTCAGTGAGCCCATGAAAACATGTTCAACATCATTAGCCATCAGGGAAATGCAAATTAAAACAATACAATGCCATTTTATATCAAGATGACTAAAATAAAAAAGGAAACAATAACAAATGTTGGCAAAGAAGCTGGAATATTAGCACCCCCAAACACCTGGGATGGTAAAATGATGCAGCTGCTTTGGAACAAACAATTTGGCAGTTCCTCAGAAGGTAAAATATGCAGTTATGTGATCCATTAGTTCCACTCCTTGGCATATACCCAAGAGAATTGAGAACATTTACACAAAAACATGAACACAAGTATTCATAGCATTCATGAGAGCAAAACAGTGAAAACTAATCAACTGAGGAATAGATAAGCAAATGTAGTATATCCATAGAAATAATATTTGGCTATAAAAATGAAGTACCAGTACATACTACAACATAGATGAACCTCAAAAACACTTAATGCAAGAAAACAGATTCAAAAGGCCACAACTGTGTATGTCAGAAGTAGGGAAATCCATGGAGAAAAAAAAGTAAGATTAGTGATTGACAGGGGTTAAGGAAAGAGGAATAAGAAATGAGTAGTGTTAAGTACAGAGTTTATTTGGGGGTAATGAAAATGTTCTAAGCTTTTGTGTGATTATTCAACTATGTGAATGTACTAAAAACCACTGTACACTTAAAAGGGACACTTTTATAGTGTATGAATGATATCTCGATAAAACTTACTTAAAATATGCATTCTAAACTCAAAGATGTTAGATTGTGACAAATTTTGTCTTAGAATCAAAATACCATTTTATAATCTTAGGTGATTTCAGATGAAAATACGCAGAATCTTTCAAATTTTGCCTAATTTGAGAGATGTTTTCCATAGTCTTCAAACATAACTCATTCCACTTTTTTGAAAAATGAGATTTATTGTTGCATATTCCTCCATGCACAAAATATAAGAATATAATTTGGTCAATACCACCCCTCAGTGTCTCTCACCTCCAATACTCCCTCCCCCAGGCCTTTTGCTCTCCTCTCCTGAGATCCTGAATACACATCTTTTTTCCCTGTTTTCTCTCTAGTTTCCCCACAGGAGTAGCTCACTCTGTCACACTGGTACTTGCCCGTTAAAGAAAACATAAACATAAGTCTTCCAAAAACAAAAGATTAGAAGACAGCTTCATATTCTTATGGATCGACTGCTTTTTTTTCTTCTTAGGATGAAAGCATAGAATGATATTCTGAAAGCCTTCAATATCTTCATTACTAACAAACTGTTGTTCTAAGTGGAATAAAGACTAATACAGAACTATTGTAAAAAATCTAAAACATGGGAAATATAAAGAGGAAAAAGCCACTTATGATCCCATCACCCAGAGATTAACACTTCAAATATTTGGAAATATATCTTTCTAAACAAAAAAGGAATTTTTAGCTGTGATGTCACCTTCATTTTGGTCTGTTTGTCAGTTATTTCACCAGAAAGACTGTTATATGTCAGTTTTGAAATGTGGTTTTGGGAACAGAGGGAAAATCGATTAGGTGCGCATTCACAGACTTTGTGTCTTACAAAAGGAGGCCACAATTGTCCTGGCTGCAGAGCTGTAAGCCTTAACAAACTGCTTCGAACTATTGTGCCACCCTGAAGAAAATTATGCTGCACTGGGGTGCCCAGAATGTTCTGAAGCTTCTCGTCATTTTTGTCTTCTAAATGGGTTCTAGTTGAAGAATACTAAGGTCATTGTTGTTAGATAAAAGGGGTATTATGGTCTTTTTCTTGCTTAATTCCAGGTCTGAACTTTAAGCTTCCATCAGTTTCCTGAGACTTTGGCTTTAAGTAGAGATTCTTTAGCTGCATCTACAAAGGCTACACTCTTGGTTTCTAGGTCTCTCCAGTGTCCCCCAAAAGCTCATGTGTGAGATAATGCAAGAAGGTTTAGAGGAGCAATGATTGGGTTTTAAGAGTCGTAACCCTATCATTGAATTAATCCCCGGACTGGATTAATTGAGTGGTAATGTGAAGTAGGTAGAGTGTGGCTGGAGGTGGTGAGTGAGTGGGGGTATGCCTTTGGGGTATATATTTTGTATCCAGCAAATGGTCTCTCTCTCTCTCTCTCTCTTTCGCTCTCTCTCTCTCTCTCTCTCTCTCTCTCTCTCTCTCTCTCTCTCTCTCCCTCTCTCTCTCTCTCTCTCTCTCCCTCCCTCTCCCTCCCTCTCCCTCCCTCTCTCTCCCTGCCTGCCTGATCATCATGTGAGCTGTTTCTCTCTGCCACATTGATATTCTGCCATCTTAAGCCCCAAGAAATAAAGCCAGTTATCTATGGACAGAGTCCTCCGAAACTGTGAGTCCTTAAATAAACTTTTCCTCCTCTAAAATTGTTCCTGTCAGGTCTTTTAGTCACAGCAGGGAAAAAGCTGACTGAAACACTCCAGGGATTCTCACTTTGGACAAACCACCTACAGAACAATGCAGGTGATCCATGTTCCATACTTTAAGAAATGCTTCTTCAACTATCTGATGATACTCAGCATATGCCTCTGCTGTGCTCATCAATTTGGGCAGACCCAGCATGGTTTCCTGGGAATTTGAGGTATGTGGCCCCAAACAATCAAGTGTCCTTCCTGCTCTGTGATTCCAGCTGCCATTTTCTCTCAGGGAAATGGACATGACTCTAACTCTTGCATTCCATATCCTTTGCCATTGGTTTCTTTAGTTCATTTCTTTAAGTATTTCCTTCCTGCAGAAAACAACCTCCAGAGATTTTCAAACTGGTTTGAAGAAGTTCAGAGTTCAAGATGAAATTTATACATAATTCTGGAAACTTGCTGAGTCCTCAGAATTCCCATTAACATGATGAAAACTTGCTTAGGTCAGCAAACCAGATCTCATCAGTGTACATTTCACCAACTTTGGGTTTCTATCATCTAATGACAAAATTTGGAAAAGGAATGCTTTTTAAAATTTCAGTATTTGATTCTCCATACATTCTGAAAGTGTCCTATTGCTTAGAAGTATTGGGTTACATTTCCTCATCTCTAAAATAGAAGTATTTCTTCTTCTATAAATTAGAAGTAATAATCGTGCTCCCCTCCTTAAATATCTTATAAAATTAACATAACTCATGCATTGTGATATATAGTAAGTGCTTAATAGATGATAGTTGCCTATATTACTTCCTTGCAAGAACATTACCTGAAGAATCTTCCTTAGAACTTGAGTCTCAGAAATACCCTGCCAAAAGGGTCATCTTACAACCTTGAGAAATAAACTAGTACATCCCTTTATTTGACCACAGACTCTTTTCCTTTGTATTTTGTATGTTTAAATCTTGATGAATGCTAAAATTTGTGGGCTTTTGCTATTCTGGAACTATTGCTTCACATTCCCAGTATTACTTTTATTTTAAATGATATTATTATGAACCCAGTATTGGCTATAGCTATTCACATAGCTCTAAATCCTACTCTTTAAAGAAAACTACTGTTATTGCTCATGTACAACTCTTCATCAAGCCTCTGTGACTCTAATAAGTTTCACTTGATATTGCTAATGATCATGGAAAGACTATTCTATGAAAAGAAATACACAGCAAATATAATTAAGTATGTATTTAAGAATATAAGACTATTGACAATGTACCACTCTTTCAGTTGCTAGTGTTTATCAATTTTAAATGTATTTTTATAACTTCAAATATACATTCTGTAACTTAGAACTAGCTTATTTATTTGGAAAAATGCATCTTTTGAATTAGGTGGATACTGAGCTGAATTATCACCCATGGAAAGCCTCAGAATGCCTGACCAGTTCTCTTGTTCATTTCTTCTGTAGAGAAAGAGTGAAAACTCATGTAAATTCCCACAACCTTTGCTATAAAATCCAATAAACTATCCAAACTTGAAGTTCCTGCAGGCCACCAACATTTCCCTAT